GTATTAATGTACTTTAATGCATATAATTTGTGAACATTTACATGAATTGTACACTTTGAACTCCCTTTCAGGCTGAAAGGGACTGAGAAAATTCATACCGAGAGATTGTCTAAATTCCTCTCTGATATATATTCTATTCTCTTTGTCTTTAGGACATGGATAATTCTGAATCACCAATTCAAAATATGTGGTTGAACAGTCTATAGCTTAAATTTACTAAACCTGGTCCCATAGTTAGATAAAAAAATAATATATTGAATTATAAAATAAATTGATATACTAATGAATATGAATGTACGTATAGATATCTACTTATTCTGCGTTGTGAAATTGATAATGAATATAGATTTATTGTATATATACTCTTACAAAACAAATAAGAAAGAAACCATACCAAAATAATTTATAACTTTTTTATCTAAAAAAGCGTAAATTTTTATTTTAAAACTTGTATTGCAGTTACGGCAGATATTTTCTATATATAAATTTGGCTTGTCTGTCTGTTTGTTTGTCTGTCTGTTTGTTTGTATCCAATAAACGTCAAAACGGCTGAACCGATCGGCCATCGGGCCCAAATTTTTTGTGGGACATCACGTGACCACAGGGAAGGTTTATGAATGATCAAAATTTCAAATATTTGTCTTCATCAAAATTCGATCTTCATTAACTTTTTTAAGATTTTGAAAATCCACGAAATTTTTTGTGAAAATCCGCGAATTATTTTTGTTTTGTTTTACGATGTACACAAAGAGAACATGTTCACAATTAATTTAGAAGAAGGGCGCGAAGCGCCCTCTAAGGCTAGTCTATATATAAATTTGGCTTGTCTGTCTGTCTGTCTGTTTATCTGTTTGTTTGTTTGTATCCAATAAACGTCAAAACGGTTGAACCGATCGGGCCCAAATTTTTTGTGGGACATATAGGGACCCCAGGGAAGGTTTATGAATGATCAAAATTTTAAATATTTGTCTCCATCAAAATTCGATCTTCATTAAATTTTTGAAAATTTTGAAAATCCACGAAATTTTTTGAAAATCCGCGATTATTTTTGTTTTGTTTTACGATGAACACAAAGAGAACATGTTCACAATTAATTTAGAAGATGGGTGCGAAGCGCCCTATAAGGCTAGTATCTATATATAACTTTGCTTGGGTGTCTGTTTGTTTGTATCCAGCAAACGTCAAAACGGCTTAACCGATCAGGCCCAAATTTTTTGTGGGATCTCGCGTGACCCCAGGGAAGGTTGTGATTAAAAGGTTTTTATTTTTGTAAAATTTTTAAAATGAGTGAAAAAAGGTTTATGAAATCTTCTAACCTTTTTTATCCTGTACATAGAGAAGATGCCTACAGATAGATCCACTTAAAGGGAGTGTTCGCGAAATATGAAAGGGGGTATAGGCTTTATGCGATAAAAAAAAGCGCTTTTGATCGCTACTAATCTTACTTCTATCTGTTGCGTCTATAAAGAGAAAATTGTTAAAGACGTCTCATACCGAATAACTTAGTGGCCATACAAATTGAGATAATTGCAACATACTATCTTAAACCGCAAAAAATCAATTTATTTTCAAACAAATCATTTAGATATCACAACCTATATTCATCGATTATCTTTCGCCACATTTGTATATAGTTTATATTTTTTAATATTTTATTTTTTTAGAAAACGCTTTCAACGGATTTCGAAAATTGTGAGTGGTGTGCGGCATTCTTAGATATAGTTGCGCAAGCGACAAAAGAAACAAACAAATTAATTAAAAAATATTATAATATATAAACTATATACAAATGTGGCGAAAGATAATCGATGACTGTAGGTTGTAACATCTGAATAATTTGTTTGAAATTAAATTGATTTTTTACGGTTTAAGTCGTATGTTGCAATTTTCTCAATTTGTATTACCGCTAAGTTATTCGGTATGAGACGTCTTTAACAATTTTCTCCTTATAGACGCAACAGATAGAAGTAAGATTAGCAGCGATCAAAAGCGCTGTTTTATCGCACTAAGCTTATACCCCCTTTCATTTTTCGCGAACACTCCCTTTAATAGATGAAATAGAAGATGGGCGCGAAACGCCCTAAAAGCCTAGTTTATATACATATGAAAACAAAACAATTTCACGGGACTTTAGACATAATTTCAAACAACCATCCATTTAAAGACGGATGTATCCGATTCACATTGGTTCATTTAAAACCTTTGTCTAATCATTATAGACCATACTCTTCTCCTAGACTCAACCAGAAAGAAGGAGATAGTTAAATTCATGCGACATTACTGGTGCGACTCTGTACCTCGTAGCTCCTTTTAAAAAAAAAATTTTTTTACACGTTTAAGAAATCCAAATTTATCCGGTTACTAATTAGATCCGGTTACTTATTAGATCCGGTTACTAATTAGATCTGGCCGGTTAACAATTAGAAATAAATAAATAAATATTTTTATTCTTCTCAATAGCTGTTCCATAAGAGGAGCTATATGATTGAAAACATTAAAGAGTTCAATCTTAAATACAATATACTTTAGTTAGGTAACGGCTTAAAGGGTACCTTGGGGGACTGGACATGCCTCTCCATAGATTGGGAGTCACTTGAAGTTACGTCTACAGTCCCTTTAACACAGGAGAATCATTGATTTTTACTTTATATTCCCTTTATCCCTGCCTTCCCCCTCCATAACCTTATAAAATCATGCAAAAGATAAAGATGTGTGACTGTTTATAGGTTGTTTACATCAGTTTTGAGGACATTGTAAACAATATTGTTTACAATTTCAAACACTGTAATAAACATTTCAACGTCTACAAGAGACATATCTAGATTTAAATAATTCCCTAACGATGACGCAACTATTTTATCTCAGTTCCTCTCTTAGGTTGGACGGGAGATAATAATAATTTGATTAATTGGATAAAAAATCTACAAATAAATCGTGTTAATTAAACATTAAGGCTGAGAGGGGATTCACGAGGAAGGGAAAGCAATGCCTTAAAATATATTATCCGAGCCACAACTAGCAAAACGAACCACTTTTAGCAACACATACAGGATTTGTTCTAGGGTGAGGGGCAAAAATGTGTTAGATTGGATGTGTATGGAGGGTCAATGCCCCCTTGCCCCCCCCCCTTGACAACTTTAAATGTGGTTCATTAAGATATTCTTTCATATTCTTTATTATAAAAATGCATGTAAGGATATTACAGTATAATCTTTTTCTTATGCTCTAACCATCTTCGATATCCAGCATTGGAGTCTAATTATTAAATAAAGAATAAACATTTATTAAAAATTATTTAGATATTTATTGTTAAATAAAGTTGAAGTGTCTGTAGCACAGTAGGTGCAGTATATAGAGTTACAGTGGGGTTCAACCCTAGCATAATATTACTACAACATACCTTCAGATATATTTCAATCATTTATAATAAAGATTATATAGATAGGACAAAATTTTACAATATTGATTATATAGATAGGAAAACATTTGCAATATAGATTATATAGATAGGAAAACATTTGCAAAATAGATTATATAGATAGGAAAACATTTAAAATATAGATTATATAGATAGGACAACATTTACAATAGATAATGTAGATAGGACAACGTTTTCAATGTAGATTATATAGATAGGACAATATTTTCGATATAGATTATATAGATAGGACAACATTTACGATAAATATTATACAGATAGGACAACATTTACAAAACAGATAATACAGATAGGACAACATTTACAACATAGATAATGTAAATAGGACAACATTTACAATAACGTTTATATAGATAAGACAACACTTACAGTATAGATTATATAGATAAGACAACACTTACAGTATAGATTATATAGATAGGACAACATTTACAGTATAGATTATATAGATAGGATAACATTTACAATAGATAATGTAGATAGGACAAAATTTTCGATATAGATTATACAGATAGGACAACATAAACAATATAGATTATAAAGAAAAGACAACATTTACAATATAGATAATATAGATAGGACAACATTTACAATAAAGAATGTAGATAAGACGAAATTTAAAATAACGTTTATATAGATAAGACAATACTTACAGTATAGATTATATAGATAGGATAACATTTACAATATAGATTATATATAGGACAACATTTACAATACATATTATATAGATAGGACAAAATTTTAATAGAGATTACGTAGATAGGATAAAATTTCCAATAAAGATTATTTAGATAAGACAAAATTTTAATACATAGAATATAGATAGGACAACATTTACAATATAGATTATAAAGATAGGACAACATTTACAATACAAAACCAAATGTGCACCCTGGAAACCAAATGTGTACCATGGAAACCAAATGTGCACCATGGAAACCAAATGTGTACCATGGAAATCAAATGTGCCCCCTGGAAACCAAATGTGCACCCTGAAAACCATGTGTGCACCATGGAAACCAAATGTGCCATCTGGAAACCAAATGGGCACCCTGGAAACCAAATGTGCATTCTGGAAACCAAATGTGCACCCTGGAAACCAAATGTACACCCTGAAAGCCAAATGTGCCATCTGGAAACCAATGTGCACCCTGGACACCAAATGTGCACCCTGGAAACCAAATGTGCACTCTGGAAACCAAATGTGCAACCTGGAAACGAAATGTGCAACCTAGAACCAAATATGCAACTGAAAACCAAATGTGCCATCTGGAAACCAAATGTGCAACCTGAAACCAAATGTACACCCTGAAAGCCAAATGTGCCATCTGGAAACCAAATGTGCACCCTGGACACCAAATGTGCACCCTGGAAACCAAATGTGCACTCTGGAAACCAAATGTGCAACCTGGAAACCAAATGTGCAACCTAGAACCAAATATGCAACTGAAAGCCAAATGTGCAACCTGGAAACGAAATGTGTAACCTAGAACCAAATGTGCAAATGAAAACCAAATGTACACCATGAAAGCCAAATTTCTAAATTGTCTACTTTTAGGTTTCTGGGTTCCAGAGAAGCCGGGGTGATATAGCTTTCTCTTCAAATGATTTTGGGAGCACTGATTCAGGGCCTACTTTTGAAATACCAGGTTTTTTACTTATACATAACTTATTAAACAATCCAGATTTTTTATCTGTACGCCATTTGTCATGTGTTTGTTAAGTTAGCTGCTAAGATAATTAGTCAAGATATTTTCTTTTTTTCAGGAGTTAGGGGGGGGGGGGAGTTCCATATATAATAAGAATATAATTTTTCAGGTCGGGTGTCTTTTCAGTTTAACGGTGATGTATCGCGTCGCCAATCTCAAGGGGGGCAACGAGATTGTGGCAGGGGTGAGGGGGGCTGTGGATCCTGCACCCCCAAATGTTTAGGAGAAAAGGGGTCCATGGGTCCCCCTGGTATCCCTGGCTCAGAGGGTCCCAAGGGCCGCCAAGGGTTTGTTGGCATGGAGGGGTTACCAGGACCTAAGGGTAGTATTGGCAACCCTGGAGTTCAGGGACCCCGGGGAATGAAGGGGGACCGGGGGAAAATGGGAATGCCAGGTTTCCCTGGAATAAATGGACTGCCTGGACTCCAGGGACCCCCTGGACTACGAGGTCTTGATGGACTGGACGGATGCAACGGGACCGATGTAAGTAAAAGCTAATCATCAATCAGACAGAATTATCTTAGATTAATGTTTTTCCCATATTTCAGGGTTTGCCGGGGAAAATGGGGTTTCCGGGTTCTCAAGGTGAGAAGGGAAACATGGGGTATCCCGGAGAGAAAGGAGAGAGAGGAGAACCAGCCTATGTTCCACCAGCTCCTAAAGGACAGAAAGGAGAACCAGGACAAAACGGATATCCTGGAGAACCGGGTAGACCAGGACAACCAGGATATCCGGGTACTAAGGGAGACAGGGGACTGGACGGAGTAGATGTAGGTTTTTATATTTAATCATCTTTTAATTATCTCTAGATGAGATTGAACTTTTGTTTCTTTTTGCACTGATTTTGATTATTTCTTAATGAAACTTTTGTTGATTCTTTTCATTGAGTTACACATACTTGATAAATACTATTTCCAGGGTAGACCAGGATATGACGGGCAGAAGGGCGAGAAGGGGAGTATGGGATTAAGGTAAGAAGATAAAAATAAACAATAACGGAATAAAAATAATGAAAGGAAAAGAAGACAACAAAACAGAAGAACAGACAAAAATCAAGGAAAGGAATTGAGTCTTTCCCACAAACTCTGAATTTATAATCCCTAAATCTTTGGAACCCAATATCGTAAATGCTTGATATTTCAAACTTTTATTATTTGATCTAACAGAATTCATAGTTTGAAATATCTAAGGTCTACGACATTGGAATCCAAAGATATAAGGTTTAGAAAAGCAGAGTTTGTGGCAAAGACTCAGTTCCTCAATTTTAAAAAAAGAGAAAAATATAGAGCTGAAATCATTGAATTAGAAGATTATGAAACTAAAGTATAGAAGAGGAGAAGATTAGAGAACTAAAGTATAGAAGATGAGAAGATTATGGAACTATAGTAGAGAAGAGGAGAAGATTTAAGTACTAAAGTAGAGAAGATGAGTAGATTATAGAACTAAAGTAGAGAAGATGAGAAGATTAGAGAACTAAGGAATAGAAAAGTGGAAGATTGTGGAGCTAAAATAGAGAAGAGGAGAAGATTATGGAACTAAAGTATAGAAGAAACTGAAGTTAAGAAGAGAAGAAGATTAAGTAACTAAAGTAGAGAAAATGAGAAGATTATAGAACTAAGTAACTAAGTAGATAAGAGGAGAAGATTATGGAACTAAAGAAGAAAATGAAGAAAATTATGAAATTAAAGTAGGTAGAAAAAGATATGATTATGGAACTAAAGTAGGAAATTAAGAAGATTATGGAACTAAAGTATCTAGAAGAAGATATAATTATGGAACTAAAGTAGAAAACGAAGAAGATTATGAAACTAAAGTATCTAGAAGAAGATATAATTATGGAACCAAAGTAGAAAATGAAGAAGATTATGGAACTAAAGTATAAAATGAAGAAGATTAAGAGAACATCAGGACAAAAAAATTGCAAACCTGAATAGAGAAAAAGAAAGCCTTTGGGACCCGGGTCACCAATAGAAGTAAAAGAAAAAACCTAGAATGAATAAATCTCGAGGGGAATGAACTCAATGAACAGACTGATTTGTAGATTTTAGAAAACGTGTGAATAGTAAAAGTTAATTAAAGTATCTTTGTAATTAAAACTCAAGTTTTCTCTTTACAATTCAGTTCTGAACATTTAAACACTAAATAGTAAATACCAGAAACTGGGTTTGTACCAGTAGGAAACGTTTGACTGGACGGAATGGGTTAAATTCATTCTGCAGCTGCGGCCGAGTAAACTAACCAATTTTTGTGTCAAACCTTTGGTAAATAATCTCTCGAGGAGAAAATAAACTAAACTTATTTTGTTTGTTTAAAAGTTTCCATCACAGGAGATATAAGTACAAGAATATTTTTTATTTTGAATTTTTTTTAAGAATTGTTATTTATCTAGAGCTGAAGGAGAAAAGGGGGATAAAGGACAGAAAGGACGACCAGGGCCCCCAGGGAATGTGGAACTACCAAACTTTACGGTTAATCAAACTTTCATTGGACCAAAGGGAGATACAGGACCCATGGGGGACCAGGGACCAAAAGGAGATAAAGGACTTCGTGGAGAAACTGGACTACCTGGACCTCAAGGAATGACAGGACGAGTTGGACCTAAAGGAGAGAAGGGACTACCTGGTAGTCCAGGGCCTAGGGTAGAACTTTTTGTTGATAATTTTTTATAACTTCTCGTTATTAAAGGGACAGTAGACATAATTTTAAGTGATCATCCATTTATAGAGTAAGCTCATTGAACCTTTGTATGATCAATAATAAATGAAATATTCTATTTTTTTCTCCTGACAAGTTATTTTTTGTTGTTGGTTTCTTAAAAGAGACTTGCGGATTTTGCTACACAGGCAATGAAAGAAGTAGTCACTCTTGACTTGAAATTACATCTACAGTCTCATTAAAAATCATTTTTACTTTTTTCCATTTAATTCTCAGAACTTTATTTTATTAAATTCAATTTAGAAAAGAATAATCGGTTTTTTGATTAACCTTTATATCATTATGTAGGGTAAAGAGGGTCCTTTCGGACCTCCCGGTCCCATGGGTCAGAAAGGAGATCAAGGGAACAATGGATATGATGGATTATCTGGTAGACCCGGAGCCAAGGGAGAACCAGGGAGACCTGGCAGGGACGGAGAATCAGGGCTCGAGGGACCACCAGGAGCACCAGGGGTGAGATATAATTTTTCAAACTTTTAAGTTCTTTATTATTACAGAACTTTTATTCCAGGGAGGACCAAAGGGTGGACCACCAGGACCTCCTGGTCCACGAGGGTTTCCTGGACCACCGGGACCACCAGGACAGGACGGATCAGACGGAGAAACAGGAAAACCAGGACCTGAAGGTCCAGTGGGAGGACTTGGACTCCCAGGTTTACCAGGGTTAGAGGGACCACCAGGAGAGAAAGGAGAGAAAGGAAACTCTGGTTTGCCAGGTTTCCCTGGTTCTCCGGGTCTTCGGGGAGAAAGAGGAAACCCTGGAGCTACAGGAATAAATGGAGAGAAGGGACAGAAAGGAGAATCCATTGCCGTAAGTGTTCATCTTTTATTAAAAAAAATTATTTTTACGTATTTTTTATCTCAGGGTCCTCCTGGAAGGGATGGATTAAACGGAATGCCAGGACGAACTGGACAAAAAGGAGAGCGAGGTTTTCCAGGGCCCAGAGGTGTACCCGGAGATGCTCCAGGAACTCCAGGGCCCCCTGGATCCCCAGGAGACAGGGGTCCATCTGGTATACCAGGGTTGTCAGGAGTGAATGGTGAGAAGGGGGACAAGGGAGATAAAGGATTGAAAGGAGGTGAGTGTGCAGTCTGTTTCCCTGGGATGAAAGGAGAGAAAGGAGGACCTGGAAGGAACGGGTTGGATGGTATACCAGGAGAAAGAGGACCTCCCGGAGGTCGAGGAGTAACAGGAGAACGTGGAGATGATGGACAACCTGGACCTCCAGGACCTGTTGGACCAATGGTAACAATTCTTCAACTTTTTTATTTTAAACCAACAATTGCGAAGAGATTTTATGTTTTGTAGGGAGAAGCAGGAAGGGCTGGAGCACCAGGACCTAAAGGAGAAAAAGGAAAAGATGCATTTCTACCTAATGTTGTTGGACCTCCAGGACCTAGAGGAGGTCGAGGTGAACCTGGTCTCCTTGGAGTAGATGGACAAAAGGGAGGCCCAGGTCTACCTGGACCTGTCGGAATGCCTGGACCACAGGGTGACAAGGGAAACCCCGGTCCACCCGGGAAAGATGGACTTCCTGGAAGAGATGGACAACCTGGACCACCGGGTATACCTGGTCCCAAGGGAGATGGGCAGAAAGGAGATCCTGGACCCAAAGGAGATACCGGACCACAAGGTCCCAAGGGAGATACAGGACCTGTTGGAGAACGAGGGGATCCTGCAAAATGTCCAGCTGTAGAGGAACTACGGAAAGGTATAAAAGGAGAAAAAGGAGATGGAGGATTGAACGGGAAGGACGGAGAAAAAGGAGATCGAGGACCGCAAGGTATAATTGGTTTACCAGGACAGAAAGGAGATCAAGGACAGAAAGGAGAAATTGGTCCTTATGGACCTCCCGGTCCTAACGGAGTAAAGGGTGACCGGGGAGTCCCTGGTGTTGAAGGTTTGCCCGGTCCCCCAGGTCGGGACGGATTCCCTGGTATAGCTGGTATCATCGGAGATAAGGGAGATAAAGGATTACCCGGTAGACCAGGAGTAGGACCTCCTGGACCACCTGGACAACCTGGACTCAAGGGAGAGAATGGACTTCCTGGACTACCGGGGAAAAATGGACCACCTGGAACACCGGGTAATTAAATTCTTATAAAGAAATATCAAATAAGTAATAAATAACTAAATAAATTAACTGTCAACGTAATCTCCATTCAAAAAGTGTAATGTATGATTCACAACGGTACTCTTAAAAACTTTGCCCGATCATGAATGCATCGTCATCTCTTTGAAAAAAAAAATTTAATTGTCCTTTCTTTATAAGAATTTCTAAAGAATTGGTAGAATTAAGCAGTTTTCTATCTAAAAAAAAAAACTTTATCTCCCACATCAAGTATTAAAGGATAACGTTATGAATCCGGCATGTCACTATTTAAATGGAAGGTCGCTTCAAATTGCCTTCAAATAATAAAAAGGCATTTATATATAACAGCAGAAAAGAAATATTTTCAATATTGAAAATAATGGTTGGTCATCTCTAGAATGATTCCCGAAAATTTTTTGACAAGTGCTTGAAGGGAGTGTTCGCGAAAAATTAAAGGGGGTATAGGCTTAATGCGATAAAAAGTGCTTTTGATCGCTACTAATCTAATATAAACTGTACACAAATAAACTGTACACAAATGTGGCGAAAGATAATCGATGACTATAGATTGTAACATCTGAATGATTTGTTTGAAATTAAATTGATTTTTTTACGGTCTAAGTCGTATGTTGCAATTTTCTCAATTTGTATGGACGCTAAGTTATTTGGTATGAGACGTCTTTAAAAATTTTCTCCTTATAGACGCAACAGATAGAAGTAAGATTAGTAGCGATCAAAAGCGCTTTTTCATCCCATTTTTATCGCATTAAGCCTACACCCCCTTTCATTTTTCGCGAACACTCCCTCCCTTTACGATACACTCCATAGGTGCAGCCTTAAGCAGAGAACACAAATAATTTATTCTTTAAATGAAATGCAGAAATTAGATTGGGAAATCCGAAAATTCAATCTGCTATAAAATGATTTTTTTTTAATTGCACCAAGCTAAAGAAACTAAGTTTTTTCCACAATTTTTTTCTAATCTCTATATCTTTTCAACCTAATATCGTAGATCTTTAATATTTAAAATTTTATATTTTGTTAGTGTATAAGTAGTCTAAGTTTGAAATATCAAAGGTTAACACCATCAGTTTGAAAAGATATAAAAATTTGAGTTTGTGACAAAAACTCAATTTCTTAGTCGTAAGTTTGCTTACTGGACAATATTCATAAGATACATTTTTACCTTTTTTCACGATGATCCATACTTTCAACCCTGTTTTTACTTATCAAATGCAGCTTTTTTCGTAATTTTTTATTAACCTTTTTGCCTGGTTTACATTTAAAAAGAATTATTTGAGAGAAACTAAGCCATTGAGCAAAAAAAACATGTTGAAGTCCTTTAGGACAAATACTGATTATAAAATTATAGTTTTCTTTCTCTCATTTTACCAGGAAGAATATTAAAGTATTTAAGGTAGATTAAAGTTATGTGGTTAATTCATTTTTTTAGAATTGTTAATCAACAGATTTTAACCTCCAATAACTGATATTAAGCTCTCAATTATGAAATTACTTCTCAATTCTTTATTTTCTAATGAATTATATTTAAATATATTTGTGTGAAGTAAAAGTTAAGAAGTAATGATAAACCCCAAAATAGGATTCGTTGTATATAAATGAATATACATAAATCAAGAAGAATGCATTTCTATTGATACTCTTCTACTTTAAACCATTAATATTGAATCAGTTCCTGAAAATATTTATCTTCAGGTTTGCTTGGCATGCCAGGTATCAAGGGGGACCTGGGAGCTGTAGGACTACCTGGTCTCAACGGTATCAAAGGAGATCTTGGATATCCAGGTGTCCCTGGTCCCCCTGGTCCTGCAGGACCTGCCGGACCTCCAGGTAGGGACGGAACCAAGGGTCTACCAGGACTACCAGGACAGCAGGGTCCTCCAGGTATATCAGGAGTACCGGGTATGAAAGGGAACAAGGGAGAAGAAGGACGTGAAGGACCAAAGGGGTATCCTGGTATGCCAGGACGCCCTGGAACTCCAGGACTTCAGGGACTTGATGGACTTCCAGGACAGAAGGGTCTTCAGGGAGAGAAGGGGTTAAACGGGTTTCCTGGCCTGCCTGGTTCTCCGGGTCCTGCTGGAGTCCCTGGTCTACCTGGATCCAAGGGGGACAAGGGAAACCTTGGTCTCCAGGGTCTACCCGGACCAAGGGGACAGGAAGGAATGAAGGGAGACAGAGGACTCACAGGACCTATGGTAATTCGTTTCAAAAGTTACTCCATTTTTTCAAAATCTGTTAAAATGCTGAGAAATTTAAAATCAAATTATTAATAAAATATTAAAAATTATCCAGGGTCCTCGAGGTTTACCTGGAACTGCTGCGGCTAAGGGAGAACCAGGATATCCTGGTGCACCTGGAGAAAAGGGTTCTACTGGTCCCCCAGGTAGAGATGGAGTACCTGGAGTTAAAGGAGAAACTGGTTTGGCAGGGTTCGGTAGACCTGGAGAAAAAGGAGATAAGGGAGACCGTGGACTTTCTGGTCCACCCGGACTTCCAGGTCTTAATGGTCTTAAGGGTAATGCGGGCCTGCCAGGGTTCCCTGGACTTAAAGGACAGATTGGATTGAAAGGAGATGTTGGACCGTCTGGTATACCAGGGATAGATGGGACTCCAGGAGCTAAAGGAGAACCAGGGTTCATGGGAATATCCGGACGCCCTGGACTAAAAGGAGACCGAGGATATACTGGAGTATCTGGTATGGATGGTAGACCAGGACAGCCTGGAGTAGAAGGTTTGAAGGGTAACCAAGGGTTTGACGGACCGATGGGACCTAAAGGAGATCGTGGAATGGACGGTTTGCCAGCCTCTCCAGGTGTCAAGGGAGACAAGGGAGACCAAGGAATGACTGGACTTCCAGGAAAGGACGGATTGAAAGGGGAACTAGGAAACCCAGGACCACCGGGAGAACCAGGGTTTACCGGGTTGCCAGGAGACAAGGGAGATCGAGGTATACCTGGAATACCTGGCAGGAACGGAATGAAAGGAGAAATGGGATTTCAGGGACCAACAGGGATACCAGGCCTTAGTTCAAAGGGAGAGAAAGGACTACCAGGACTACCTGGTAAACAAGGACGACCAGGGATGCCTGGACAACCGGGAACTAAAGGAGACGCTGGTCCTCCAGGTCTACCTGGTATACAGGGAATACCGGGGGATAACGGATACCCTGGTAGACCAGGAGAAAAGGGAGATAATGGTAGACCAGGGATACCAGGTATCACTGGACCACCCGGTCCCACAGGAAATAAAGGAAACCTAGGTCCTACAGGATTCCCTGGTAGGAAGGGAGATATTGGACCACCGGGATATCAGGGCCCTCCAGGGGATAAGGGATACAACGGACCACCAGGAGAAAATGGACTTCCAGGACTCCCGGGAATGAAAGGAGACAAAGGAATGACCGGGATGCCCGGACCATCAGGACCACAGGGACTACAGGGGGTCAAGGGAGAGTTCGGTCCTCCAGGAGAGTTTGGACTTGCCGGACCACCCGGACTTACAGGACGGGACGGATCTCCAGGATTTCCAGGTTTAAAAGGAATACAAGGACCTCCCGGGTTAAATGGACCACCTGGAAAACCTGGATTGTCAGGACGACCTGGTCCTCCTGGTTCTCCAGGTATGCCCGGAATCAAAGGAGATATGGGACTCCCTGGACTAGATGGTAGACCTGGGGGACCTGGACCTACTGGACCTAAAGGAGAACAAGGTTTCGATGGAATGCCTGGAGCTCCGGTAATTATCATAATAATCAAAATAACGATAAAAGTATTGTTTAAAAGTATATTAATCATACGTATATACATAAAAAATGAATAAAACATTTGGCTTGATATTTTTTTCTTAAAATGCTGATGATAATAAAAATATTTGGTACACTAACAATCATGCTAATACTCGACTTGAATGTGTTTTTGAATCTTTAAAACATAATTCCTAAATTTTATTTTTTTATATTTTTGAAATAAATTCTTGAATTTTATGAATTCATGTTTGGATTGATTCCTAAAATGATATTGTATCGAACATCTGCAGTGTCTTGACTCAATGTGAATAATAATATATTTACGAGGTTCAGGGAGGGGGGGAGTGACCTTTCGGGTTTAAAGTTCACGTCTATAAAAATTCAAAATATGAATGATCAAATTAACAAAATTCATTCTTTTTAAAGCATTATTTGTGTGCAGGGGCGGCCTGGTTTGCCCGGGTTAAAAGGTCAAGACGGGCAAACATGTGTCGAGGACCGGCAGGTACCTACCGGTCATCTTCTGGTTCGGCACAGTCAGAGTTCCTCTATACCTCTCTGTGAACCTGGAACCACAAAACTGTGGGACGGATATTCTCTACTTTATGTTGAAGGAAACGAGAAATCTCATCACCAAGATCTAGGTAGGATAATGGTTCCAAGATCTAGGTAGGATAATGGTTCCAAGATCTAGGTAGGAGAATGGTTCGCAACATCAGGTATTCAAAGGGTTGCAGCTGTCACGCAAACATCAATGAGACTTTTGCCAATTACTTCTTTGAAACCAAAGCAAGAAAACAAAGTACTTTATAGTTTAAAATGTAAATGTTAGGGCTACAACAAAGTTTAAGTGAGTTGATGAGAAAAAACTGCAAAGACAACGATTTTGCGACACTCTATAGGTCAGATTTTAGGTACTTTCCCAAAGGATTTTTTCCCAAGTGTATTTTACCAAGTGGCGACTTCCCAAATGTTAAATTTCCAAAGCGGCAACTTCCAGAGTCTGTCCTAGCCGCAGCGCTCCCCAGGTCCCCTATTCCATCCTAGTCGCAGCGCTCGGCCCCCAATTGTAGCTTGAGGCACCTCAGAGGGCCTAACCTAACCACTGAGATGTTACCGCTTGGAAAATTGCACATTTTTGGAAAGTTGCCACTTGGGAAATTGTCACTTGGGAAATTGTCACTTGGGAAGTCTCTCTTGGGAAAATGTCTTTGGGAAAGTACCCAACACCAAAGTACACATAACTGGATAACTAGTCTTAAAAATGATGTAGCTCTTCATAGCAGCCTGGTTAGACTGGAGATCATAGACTGTCTAAATAGAGTTATTACAGTGACAAAATAGGTTTACTTATCCCCGAAATATTCTTTTAGAAAATTTTATATTGTATTCCAGGGAAAATTCTTATTTTCAAATTTGACAATTTTTAGATTAATTGTAGACAAATTTAATATTTTGAAAATATTAAAATAAAGAAGGAACACCACAACCAATTTTAGGGTGGTAAAAACATTAAATTTATATTCGCGTTCACATTTTCATATTTTCCATAAAAACGTTAAAAAAGAAATATTGATTGTTATGTTAAAGAGAGTGACGGGCAATGTAAAGTAGTTGAACTGAGTATGCAGTGTTGTGGAAAGCTTCTTTCGGATTAGGATTAAATCCTGAGTTTGATTGGGGATTATATAAACTTCTTCTTTATCTCCGTTTACAAACATTGTTGATCCTAAAAGCTCCAAGGGGAAAACAACATAAATCTCGGCAGTACAAATATTTAATGCTTTGAACCTAATAAATTACATTTCAAGGGCTTCAAGCGTAAATTCAAATAAGGCAATGTCAGATTCACAATCATACCCTTGAAACCTTTATCTGATCAATAATGTGGAAGATATTTCTGTTTTTTGGTTTAAAAGTTTTAATTCTTATAATTGTTCTTATAAATGTTTTCCTGCAATTAAAATGCGCAATTAACTTCTGTAGAAAAAACACAATTGAAATAGTTCATACTTAATCAGACAATGCTAGTAAGGGAACCGTTGTGAATCGTCTATTTACCATTTTTGTATTGAGGGTCACTCGAAATTACGCTTACAGTCCCTTTAATTAATTTTTAGAATTGTTTTATTTAAGGTATGCCAGGTTCTTGTGTTGCTAGATTCAACACAATGCCGTTCTTATTCTGTGACTTTAACGATGTCTGCAATTATGCGAGCAGGTCAATTTTTACATTTACGTGTAGTTTATGCGTTTTTTTACATTAGTTCAACTTTTTACTGGCTTTAAACTCAATTTTCTAATCCACGTATCTTTTCTATCTGATGTTGTAGACCTTTGATATTTCACAATATCAAAGGAACTGAGTTTTTGCCACAATCTTTGATTTTCCAATCCCTGTAAACTTTTCAACCTGATGTTGTTGATCTTTGACATATAAAATGATAATGATGAATGTCTGTGTCTGGATTAGAAAATTTAGTTTGTAACAAAAACTTAAAATGAAATGAGATTGACAAAATTAAGGTTTATCAGAGCTGAAAACTTTAGAATGAAATATCCATTATTGGAGCGCAAAATTTTAAATTTATCGGCTTCATATACGCGACTCTGATTGGTTGATTTTTTTACACTTTTCAGGATACAAGTACAAGATTAGGTTAGTCTTGGATTGTTGGATTATTCTTTTTAAACATTTTGAAAATCTGAGATTAAAAAATTTTAGCTTTTCACATTTCAGGAATGATAAGTCCTACTGGCTGTCTACAATAGCTCCGATACCTATGATGCCTGTAGCAGACTATGCTATCAGGGATTATATAAGCAGGTAGATATCAAAGGATCATCAGAGAAACCTGTTGTAACCCTATTTGAACATGTTAATTGGTTTAAAAGGCTCATCATGTTTTTTTTTCAATTACACAACTGTTTCTGTTCCTATTTAAAACTATTCAAATATGTCAATTCTTCCTAATAAACATTTTTAACACGTTCTTTTTGGCTTTTCGGGGAAAGTTACAATTTATTCTGGTCACAAAAGTTTCTCCATTTAAATTTTTTTCTGTCAATTACTTTTGCCTGAATCTAGCTGTTGAGGAAAGAAGTTGAACTACGTATGTTTAGCTAATTGAACTTCGTCTCTTATAGTCTCCTCTCGGCTACACTAAACAGCAATGTACCTACCGTAGTTAGTTCAGCTACATTTTGCTATTCATTAATTTTGGCCTCGATATGTAGTTTATATTTAGGGTTGCCCAAAAAGGATAGGATTTAACTTTTTGAGTCTTAGTTCTTATTTCTAAGATTCCCCGCAGCTGTAATCTTAAATCTCTCTTTACAAAATCATATAGAGGCAGGAACTCATATTGAAAGATTACACTAGAGGCAGGAAATCATATTGAAAGATTACACTAGAGGCCGGGAATCATATTGAAAAATTACACTAGAGGCAGGAAATCATATTGAAAGATTACACTAGAGGCAAGAAATCATATTGAAAGATTACACTAGAGGCAGGAAATCATATTGAAAGATTACACTAGAGGCAGGAAATCAAATTCAATCTAATGGTAGTTTTATTATCTAAAAGAGATTCAGAGGACTGTGTAGACATCAGTTTAGGTCAAGCTTTCCATTTATAAAGATGCATGTTGGATTCACAACGGTGCCCTTTAATTATTATTAAAACCATTTTTTCTTTGTCACCCTTGATCAGACGAAGGTGTGTTGGAATGCCACTTTATTAAATGGAGGGTCGGAGTGTCACTCCCTGTATATATAACATTGTACATGGTTCAGGTGTGTTGTATGTGAGGTTGAGAGTAATGTACTGGCAGTACATAGTCAGGATATGAATGTACCAGATTGTCCCCAGGACTGGGAGGGATTATGGATCGGATACAGCTTTGTCATGGTAATATTTATAGACAATTTTAATTTTTTCCTTTTATCATTTATATGAACTATTTAGTTTGTCATGGTAATATTTATAGACAATTTTAATTTTTTCCTTTTATCATTTATTTCATCTATTTAGTTTGTTATGGTAATATTTATAGACAATTTTAATTTTATTCCTTTTATTATTTATTTCATCTATTAAGTTTGTTATGGTAATATTTATAGACAATTTTAA